TTTCAAAATAATTCTATGTCCAACATGACTTAAGCTCAAAATCTCAAGGTCAAATCTCTTGTAAACTAACAATCCATTAAATGAATTTATAAAATCTCCAATTAAAATCTAGTTTACAAGATCATGATCTATATCTAAAATCTATGTCAAATTACAAGTGGCTAGTCTTCTAACTCGTCACTCCCCTCGTTTTTCCCTGTCCTTGACTTCGCTTCCTAAAATGGTGGACAAGGAAAACTAGATGAGATAAAATATCTCAGTAAGTAAATATATGGATAGCCTGTGAGTAAAATTTTAGCATGCCTGATAAATAGTTTAACATAACAAAACATTCAATGATAAACCGTTAATACAAAATAAGATTCAGTTCAATAACAAAGTGTTCGATGACAAACCATTAATGCAGAAGAAAATTCAGTAGTAGTCTCATCTATAAGTCATGGCTAGCATTTAACACCCACTAGCAGGCGACAGAAATTACCAATGTATTCGTCCATTGGCAAGCGTCGAAAATTACCAATGTGTTTGCCCAGTGGCAGGCGTCAGAAATTACCAATGTATTCGCCCAATGGCAGGCGTCAGAAATTACCAATGTATTATCCCATTGGCAAGATTACAGAATGAACCGGTCATATCAGTAAACATGTCGACATGTGCCAGCGTTTACAAACTCCCACTGGCAGGCGTCAGTAATCATGACTATATCAGAGACAAAACCATGTAGGATTTACAGAAAAATTTGTAATTCACAATCAATCTCAAATTTCAGAAATAAACCGAAAAATTTCCATGTGAGCATGGATTTAATAGAAAAATCATAATTTACAAAAATTCTCAAATCATCAGAGCAATTCAGTAAATTTCAAGTGGGCATGCTATATCCAATGAAAACGAAAATAATTCCATTTCAAATCAATCATGCTCGGTGCTAATAAAATCTATTTAAACCTTGCCACAATCTCAAAAATAATTTAAAACATGCTTTGAAATCGAAAGGCGTTACCATAATTTACTTACCTCACTCGCACAAACCAAGGACTCAATCCCAGTGCTCGGGTGACAGAACACTCAAGAACCTAATCAAAATACCCCAAAATTAACACCGTACTATCACAAATTCAAAGTGAAAACTTCATTAGGATCACCCCTAATTATGATGCTATTTCTATTAGTTTCCACATGACCAGACATCTCCAAATTTGTTCTTATATTACAAATTAAACATTTAAATCCCTGTTAATTGTTGGCCATCAGTGCGTGAACAGTGCCCGTGAACAGTGCCCGTGAACAGTGATCACGCCATGAACAGTAATTACAACTTCCAAACATTGGCAAAACCATAACTAATCTCACGGGATTTTTCTCCAAAATCTCACAGCAGCCAATTAACACTCAATTACATAAATTTCACTTGAATTAATGCTTAAATTTGTCCTAAAACTACCAGAATTCCTCCCCTAATTCAACAAAAATATCCGGACAGCATAGGGCACCCATACCACCAATTAACTCAACAAGGCAGCAATAAATCAACTAGTTTTCGAGAATTAGAGAAGCCAACCTACCAGAAAATTTCAGCAAGCAAGGCTGGAGCTGGCGGGTTTGGGGAAGAGCCGGCGGAAGTGCAGAAAAATTCAGGGGGAATCTACCGAAAATTGGAGAAACCAAGAGAAATTAAGGTAAACCCAAGCCAATTCAAAGAAGAACAGAGGGATTGGTGGCTGTTCCTTACCCAAAAATTAGAGAATTCGCACCCACAATCAAGAGTAGCCGGCGGTGAAGACAGAGCAGAGCAGATCTGGAATTTCCTGCAGAGGGGGGAAGGTTTTTGGGTTCTTTATGTGTTCTAGAACAAGAAAAGAAGGAGAAATCACCAAGCTTTACCGGTTTTTCTTCAAAGGAGGGCTGCTGCCGGCAGCTTGCTTCTTGTTCGGTGCAGGGAGAAGAAGAAAAAGGGCAGAATTGGGCTGAAGAAGAAAGAGGAAAAGGAGAAAAAAATAGCTGATCCTTATCCAAAATTTCCTCTTTTAAGTCCCTGAACTTTGAATATTTTAGCTAATAAGCCCCAAAATAATATTTTCTCACACAAAAGTCCTTAACTTAAATGCTAGAATTCCCGAAAATTTGGGATATTACAAAGACTAATAAGAAAAATAGTTTATACAATAATATGCATATTTTGAACTAAGATGAAAAAAGATATATAAAATAAAAACATCATATTATATTTAGATACACTATGAAATAGGAAACAAAAAAAAAAATTGGAACTCACCATATTAATAAAATGAAATTGAAGAGATAAAGAGGAGAATATAATATATTGATGTAAAAAAAAGTGAGAGTTTATTTATAGATGAGTAG